GAGGAAGGCTTCACATCATCTACTGTGCTGAGATAGCTATTCTGAATTGCAACTCGTTATCCCTTTGCTAGGATTATCTTCATGAGCTAACATAAAATACTTCAAATGTACAACCAGCATTCATTAGGATAATTTGACATAAGCAATGAAGTACAGAGACACAGTTTCTATCAGGAGACCACTCTTCATAAACATTCCATAGCCTGCCTCCAAGAGAACAAGACTTGGAACTAAATTAATATTATTATTATTGGATACTAAAAATCATGGATTCAAAAAAAGTAATTTCACATGCCACAAAGCATTATCTAGTGTACATCGCTTTGATGATTTAAATTTTTTCAAAAAAAAAGTTGATAGACTAATTTTTACCTAGCAGGCTTTACACTAGACCAGGTATTAACTGTCTTCCCATAACTTGCACAGATCCAACAAAAACACAGACTGGCACAAGTTTTACATTTTATATTTTAACAACAATTGCATTTGTGTAGCTCCATAGGTAATCCAAACCAATTGGTGAGCTGACTTGACAGTATACAGATCCAGTATTTATTAATGACTGTGGAACCACAAAAGCATAACAGAAATGTTTCTTTTCTTGCTCGTGACAGTTTTCTCATTGTTATCCGCCATATGCCATGTTTGGACCGCAACAATACAAAGACTTCCCACATCATCAGCCACACCTTGTGGGCCCCAGTAGTCCCTCCTGGGAGAGGGCTGCTTAAAGCTACATCAATCTGTGGTTTCACTATTCCAGAGATATTAATTTGCTGTCATTAATGCCCTTGCTAGTAACTCTCTGTTCCTAAGCTGTTAACCTTCCTTTTTTTCCTTTAAATCATGACAGATTAACATAGTTAGGCAACATATTCAGCAGTTGTTACCATCCTTTCAATGCACCTTGGTGTTTGCTGTGTCCAGGGTTTTACAATAAGGGTATCTTCAGCAGTGATCACAAAATACAGCTGCTTTTCATGTTCATTCATTTCCATCTACACCTGTGCAGGACTGTCAATCAGATGAGGAAAGTGATCTGAATGAAATTACCTCATGTGCTGGTTTTGGCTGGGCTAGAGTTAATTTTCTTCATAGCAGCTTGTATGGGGCTATGTTTGGATTTGTGCTGAGAACAGTGTTGATAACACAGGGATATTTTCGTTACTGCTGAGCAGTGCTCACACAGAGTCAAGGCCTTTGCTGCTCCTCAACCCACCCCACCCCACCAGCGAGTAGGCTGGGGTGCCCAAGAAGCTGGGAGGGGACACGGCTGGGACAGCTGACCCCAACTGACCAAAGGGGTATCCCATACCATATGACGTCATGCTCAGCATATAAAGCTGGGGGAAGAAGAAGGAAGGGGGGGACATTCAGAGTGATGGCATTTGTCTTCCCAAGTAACCAAGCCAGAGAGGCTTTCAACTAAGTCATTTAATATTTCAGAGTTTATTTCTTAAAGGTTTCTTTTTATTTTGAATAGTTTGTAGAATAGTTTGAGGATCACTTAGAGATCAAAAGTAATGAAAGAACAAACCAAAATGATTTTTAAAAGAAAAGCATGAGAAAAAAATTGACAAGCAGTCAAACAATTCTTCATAGTCAGAGTTGGGTTTTTTTTAAGCAGGTAACTAAGTTGCTTTGTGGCTGTCACAGCCTTTCC